CCCACCATCCCCAGGCAATAAAATTATGTATTTATAAGACAAAACAGCTATTGAACACTAAGTAAAGGTACAATGAACAAAGCTTGAAAGCAGAGCACAGCTAATAGAAATTCTAGTCTTTTCTTCTTATGTACTTTATCAATGTGTTCTAACTATCCACCAGAATTCATAGGGAATGTATAACAAATGATTATAGGCTATACATACCTCCAAACTTAATACCAAATTAAACAAATAAAGATAATAAAAGATTTTGAACACCTACAACTTATCACTGAACTGAACTGGAATGCAGATGCAGAGAATGACGACTGAAGAGCAAAGGGGTCCAGACCAGGCTGGTGAAACCCACAGAAACAACTGACCTGAACACTAGGGAACTCTTGCTCCCCAGACTGATAGCTGAGATACCAGCATGGGACTGATCCAGAACCCAGGAACATGGGTTTTGGTGAGGAAACCTCAGAAATCTATAGGACTTCCTGTAGTAGTTCAGTACTTATCCCTAGCATAGGTGTGGACTGTGGGAGCCCATTCCACATAGAGGAATACTCCCTGAGCCAAGACACACAGTGTTGGGCTCAGGCCCTATCCCAAAGGATATGATAGACTCTGATGACACCCTGTGGAAGGCCTCACCATCCAGGGGGAGCAGAAAGAATATGTGATAGGTAGGGTTTTAGTGGGGGTGTGGTAGGGGAGGGAGAAGGGAACTGAGATTGTCATGTAAAACAATCTTGTTTCTAATTCAAATAAAAAAAATCTGAAAGAAAAAAGGTTTTCAACCCATAAAATTGAGAACTTGGTGAGCTATTAAGTGCATACTCATTCTTACTGTTTTAATCTTTGAGGACACACACATACACACACACACACACACACACACACAAACACACACACATTCACACACACACACACACACACACACGTACTCGGCATGCATTTTAAATCCTCATTACTGAGTATCTAAGAAAGAAACTTAGATTTAAAGAAACTTTAAAGATATCTTCACCAGAGATAAACTACTGTAATGGAGTCACTTTCATTGAGATGAGTGGAAGAGACATAAGGGAAACTCATGTATGAATTTAGTTTCTTCTAATGGTTTCACACCTAGTTATTTAGAAATGTGTGAACTTTTTCAGTACAAAGTCTGTTACTGAACTGCCCTAAATAATTCTATTTTGCTTGAGTTTAGATTTTAAGTCCCTGGCTTGTATATATGGTATGATGTAATTGTGGACTTGCCTTTTTAAACCCAATTAAACTAGGGTTAGAATGCTGGAATGACCAATGTATTTCCTGACACAAAACCCAACCTTGTCCTTCTGGACCTCCAACGTGTTGGTGTGGGTATTTTTGTCTGGTCCAGATTCTAGGGGGGAAAAAAGCAAAAAATATGACAGGGACTCCTTCCCTGGGTCTCCTTCTAAGAGTAAAGATGATGACTGAAGAGGTAATGGATGAATTCTCCAGTTGAATCCATGCCTTACATTATTCGTGTGGATGCTGAATGAGTGACTGCATGATCAACACCATCTCTTCTCTCTCCGCTATTGTTCTGTACCTTACAGTTTATCAATTTTTCTGACACTCCTTGTCTGGCCAGTAACAATCACTGGTCATTAATATATCTTAATATAAATGGTCTCAGTTCAAGTATAAAAAGACCCTGGCTAACAGAATGGACTCGAGAACAGGACCCATCCTTCTACTGCACAAAAGAAACACATCTCAACTTCAAAGACTGACATTACCTCATAGAAAATGGTTGGAAACGATTTTCCAATCAAATGACCTAAGAAACAAGCTGGTGTAGCTAACAAATTAACTTCAAAGTAAAATTAATCAAAAGAGATGAATAAGGACATTTCATATTCGTCACAGGAAAAAAATACAACAAGATGAAATGCCAAATACAAGGGCACCTACATTCACTGTGGAGCCACATCATCCATTTGGAGACCTCTGTGGTCACTGTTAGAAAAGGTTTACTTCCATGGAAGTAACTTAAACATTTTAAATGTCATTTGCAGCAGATCTCACAGAGGTTAAAGGACCATCATTTTTTATGTACATGCAAAGTACAAAAACTTAATTCCTAGTAACTTGGCAGAGACTCAAACCTGAAATCATGTACAGGAAGCTAGATGAAGTTTTTTTTTTAGAATTAGTACTCTATAATGTCATTAATATCATGACAAAAGTTTAATAGATATGTATATATTGAAGTAACATATATATCTTAAGAAAAGTGTTAAAGATTCAAAATCAAACAAAACGGTAGTGATATTAGTGGAAATGAAATAGTCCATAAATTTGTTTTTTCTTCAGTCCCATATAAGGTGACTCTCAACATGATACAGGAGATTTCTCTGTCTATTTCCCCTTCCCATGTATGTCTCTTTTAGGTTTCTCCTTTTTTGCCTAGATTCTCTGGGGTTGTGGAATATAGGCTGGTTATCCTTTGCTTTATGTCTAATATCCACTTATGAGTTAGTATATAGAGTCTTTCTTTCTGGGTCTGGCTTACCTCACTCAGGATGGTTTTTTCCTAGTTCGATCCATTTCCCTGCAAATTTCAAGATGTCATTGTTTTTGTTTTTTCTTACCAGGGAGAAGTATTCCATTGTGTAAATGTAATACATTTTCCTTATCCATTTTTCAGTTGGGGGGAATCTATATTGTTTCCAGGTTCTGGCTATTAGAAATAATGGTGCTATGAACACAGTTGTGCAAATGTCCTTGTGGTATGTGTGCACCTCCTTTGGGCATATGCCCAAGGGTGGTATTGCAAGGTCTTGAGGTAGATTGAGTCCCAATTTTCTGGGAATTGGCCCTACTGATTTTCACAGAGGTTGTACAAGTTTGCAGTCCCACCAACAATGGAGGACTGTTCCCCTTTCTTCACATCCTCTCTAGCATAAGCTGTCATCAGTGGTTTTCATCTTCAGTACAGGGGTAAGATGGTATCTCACAGTTGTTTTGATTGGCATTTCCCAGATGGCCACTGCATATGGCTTAAGTGTTTTTGGCCATTGCTGCCTTCTAAATATTGACAGAGGGCCCTGGATAGATGTTCTGCAGGCAGTAAAAGAGTAAGGATGCCAACACAGACTACTATACCCAGCAAAGCTTTCAATCACTGTAGACAGAACCTTACGACTCACTAAAAGACCTAACTCTACTAACTGCCATGAAAGAGGAGCACACAATCACTGTACACAAACTGGTTAGATTGGCATCACTAAATTAACAGCAGAGGACCTTGTTGGTCATCCTTTCTTAATCTTCCTAGTTAAATGGACAGGCCCTGATGAAGAACTGGTGGTAAAAGTGTTGAAAAAAGGAAACAGTATCCATTAAATTAGTGTACCCAGTGTCCCAACAAAAGCCCTTCTACAATATGTTGGGTTTTTTTTTTTCAGATTTATTTATTTATTTTGTATACAGTGTTCTGTCTACAGGCCAGAAGAGGGAACCAGATCTCATTACAGATGGTTGTGAGCCACCATGTTGTTGCTGGCAATTCAACTCAGGACCTCTGGAAGAAGAGCCAGTGCTCTCAACCTCTAAGCCATGTCTCCAGGCCCCCCCTCTTCTATAATATGTTAATGCTTTGAATCTTCCCTATGATCAATGGGGAATGAACTATCCACAGTGACTTCAGTTTGTCTGATTTTATCCAACTCCCCACCCCCAAATTGTCCTCATCCTCATAACTGAAATTGTTGAGCCTCTGTCATGCCTGGGTCTCTGTGATACAATTGTGAGTTAGGTTTCATGAACCCAACAATGCTCACTTTAGTATAGAGATCCTCTTAGCATAAGTCGGCTGTCCAACTCTGCAAAGAAATGATGAAATGGCGCTCAGTCTGACCAGCAATGACTTCTCTTTCCCTGAGACTTAAACTACAATGGAGGCTCAATGAAAAGAAAATCCTTGGAGGTCACTGTAAATACAGGAACAGCTCTGTTGGGGAAATACAAAGCAGAAGATACTTAAGCCATCATAAACATCTGAGAGATGTGCTTTGACAAGAAAGACATGGAGACCTAAAGAATGATTCCCATAGAATCATGTTTCTAGGCACATGGGAAAGCCTGCCTTTCTGTGGGATATTTGGACCTCAACTCTGCCCCTGACCCCTCATTCCTACACACCTGGGGGCATGGTGGTTCGTGCTTGTGCCTTCACTCCTGAAGACTCATGTCCTTGCTCCAGAAACTTTACCAGGTGTGGCTTAGGGACAGCAAGACCTGTTTGTAGAAAAAGGGAACAGGACAAGTGATAAGCAAAGGGGTCCAGACAAGGCTGGTGAAACCCACAGAAACAGCTGACCTGAACAACGGAGAGCTCTAAGTCCTCAGACTGATAGCTGGGAAATCAGTATGGGACTGATCCAGACCCTAGGAACTCGGGTGTCAGTGAGCAGACCTCAGAAATCCATGGGGCCTCCTGTAGTAGATCAGTACTCATCCCTAGCATAGGTGTGGACTTTGGGAGCCCATCCCACATAGAGGGATACTCCTTCAGCCTATCACAGGGGGTGGGCCTAGGCCCTATCCCAAAAGATATGACAGACTCTGAAGATCCCCTATGGAAGGCCTCATCCTCCCTGGGGAGCAGTAAGGGTATGTGATAGGTAGACTTTTAGTTGGGGGGGGGTGTGGTAGGGGAAGAGGGGAGGGAGAGGGAACTGGGAATTGACAGGCAAAACAATCTTGCTTCTAACTGAAATTAAAAAATAGAAAAAAAATAGAAAAAGAGAACAGGATTGTTTGAGTGTTCTTCTACTGGGAATTGACACGTTCCTTCCACTGCATGGCTCCTAAGGAAAGAGAGGATGTAATCAATGACTCCAGACAGTTCCATAAATGTTTTCTGACAGGATCACTACAGTACATAAAGGAATTTTCAACATCCAGATTTTCTGTTTCATGTAAAGGGGAAAATCATTAAATCTGAATTGTTAAAAAGTTTCTTTTTTTTTTTTGTTTGTTTTTTTGTTTTTCGAGACAGGGTTTCTCTGTGTAGCTTTGGAGCCTATCCTGGCACTAGCTCTGTAGACCGGGCTGGCCTCAAACTCAGAGATCCGCCTGCCTCTGCCTCCCGAGTGCTGGGATTAAAGGTGGGCACCACCAACGCCCGGCAACAGTTTCATTAGCAGCTGTACTCCATGTCTCATGACATTTAATTTCTAACAGTCCCACTAGAGTGAAGGAAATATGTATGCAATATACAAAGGTTAAACACACAAAAAAAGAAAAAAACAATGAAATGATTCTTTTTTAAAAAAATAATTTAATTTTTTAATGTGCATTCGTGTTTCTCCTGCATGTATGTCTCTGTGAAGGTGTCAGATCTTGGAATTACAGACAGCTATAAGCTGCCATGTGGCTACTGGAATTGAACCCTTGTCCTCTAGAAGGGCAGTCAGTGCTCTTATATACTAAGTCATCTCTCCAGAACCAAAAGTATTCCTAGTAAAGAAAAACCTTAATTTTTCTGAAAATTAAGAATATGAAACTCGATGTTGAAATGTTCCACGAGATAGAGTAAAAGTTAGTAAGATATATGTTGATGGTAAAAAAAGAATTCATTATGGATGAGATCCTCACCCAGGAAATTAAGGTTGCTGTAATTCTCCAACATCACATCCCTGTACAGATTCCACTGAGCAGGCTCCAGGCATTCCCTCTCTTCTGGAGAGAACTCAATGGCCACGTCCCAGAAGGACAGCATTTCCTGAAATAAAAACCAATGGATTATAACGCACTGTAATTAAAACTATTAATGATATAAACACCAAGATGCAATGGGCTGGATAGTTCTTCTGTCAATTTGACATTAGCTAGGGTCATTTGAGAAGAGAGAAACATAATAGAGAAAATGTCTACCTAAGACTGTCCTGTAGACAAGCCTGGAGGGCATTTTATAATTAGTGATTGATATGAGACAGCACAGTCCACTATGGGTGGTACCCACCCTGGGCAGGCGATCCTATATGGCATAGGAAAGCAGGCTGGGCAAGTCAGTAAGCAGTGTTCTTCTGTGGCCTGTGTGCCAGCCCTTTCCTCAGGTTCCAGCCTTGACTTCCCTCAGGGATGGACAGTTACCTGAAGTTGTAGTCTACAATAAACCCCTTATTTTTGTAAGATTTTATTTATTATATTAATAATAATATTATTATTACAACATTCTGCTTCCATGTACATCTGCACACCAGAAGAGGGCACCAGATCTCATAATGGATGGTTGTGAGCCACCATGTGGTTGTTGGGAATTGAACTCAGGTCCTCTGGAAGAGCAGTCAGTGCTCTTAACCTCTGAGCCATCCCTCCAGCCCCACACCCCTTCTTCTCCAAGCTGTCTTTCTTCAAGGTCTTTATCACAGCAATAGAAACCCTAACACAGGCATTGTATGCCTATGGATACAAATCTAGATTTTGCCCATCATGAAAGAGAGCTAAAATGTTTCTTACATAGTTGAGTAAGATTCTTCAGACATGTCTGAAGTGGTCACATGATTTCAAACTGTACCCAGGCTCAAGAAAGACCACACACACACACACACACACACACAAATCCTATAAGCCCATTTGGACAGGGTCCTTTTAAGACAGATGAAGTTTAAAGTGAATGCATCCACAGAACATGCATTTATATGTCCGCCCATACACCACACATACATTCCACACCTTCAGAATTCCACACCGGTGAAACCTTGGGTCTCAGGTATTTCCTCTCTTAATTTTTTAACTGGCAGAGAAAATGAACACAATCAAGACTCAAGACCCTTACACTAGACAGGATAGAGTACAGGAGGGGTCAGAAACCCCGTTTGCTCTAAGATACTGAAAAATCTGACAGCAGCCATGTGAGAATGGCTCAGCTAGTAAAGCCTGCTTACCCACCAAAGCTGCTCAGTGAGCTCCCAGCTCCACCTCAGGAGCAGGCTGTTAGCTGACCATCGTTAGCTTGCATCAGTGGCTTGCAGTCCTGGTCACCTCAGCTGACCATCACTGGCTTGCAGTCCTGGACCTTGCGCTATCATCTACACCACGCTCCCAGGCAACTCTCCTGTCCCAGAAGCCCAAGGCAGACTCGGGCTGCACGTCCTAAGGAAACATCTCTCAGGGCACAGTCCCATCGCCCTCTCCCAGTCCTGATCTGCAAACTTGCATGTCCCAGCCAGTTCAGCCCAGCACCTCCCAGGCAGCTTCTCCGCCCTCCCCCCTGCCCAGGTCCGCTCCCTCCAAGACAGAACCCGCACCCCGCACCCCGCACCCCGCACAGAGCCTCAGGCTGCGGCTGCACCCTGGACCAACCTCCAAGTCAGAGACGCAGCAGGAGATGCAGCAGGGCAGGGCTCACACCCAACTTTGAGGAAGACCCACTTGTAGAGACTGACAACTGGATCCCGATTTCCTGGACGGCTCTCTGTGACGTCACAGTTGCAGGAACTACATTTCCCAGAAGTCTGAGCGAAGGAATTCCTGTAATCCTGCCTGTTGATAGTTACTCTTCCTGGATTTGTGTCTTGATACCTGCAGTAGAAGATGGGAGGAAGAAATGGATACCGCTGGATAACTGTTGGTCTGAGAAAAACCAATAGCAGGAATGTCTAATTAAAGGGTTGTTTCCAAGTAGGGAAGACTCCCAAAGACACCAGGGAGACAGACTGACCGTTGCAAACGCACAATGTTTATTTTTCTATCCCACTGGGGTAAGGGACCTGTCGGGCAAGCTGAGGCAGCAGTCTCCAGAGGGAGTGAGTTCCTTCTCTTCTGCTAGGCTTTTTAAAGAAAAAAAAAAAAAAAGAAAAGAAAAAACAAACTGCAGGGTTACATCAACGGTAGGGGAAAGGTACGAGTGATGCCTGACTGGTTGACATTTAGGGGAATTTTTTAAAGTCTCATTTTCCCATGAAATACTTGTTTATCAGCTCTTCTCATTCGCTCTCTGCAGAAGGGAACATTCTGTGGTTTCTATGGCTTTTCTTGTTCTTTGCAGGTGGCCTGTCATACATAGATACCAATAGTTTTCAGGAACTGGTATCCTGGAGACTGAAGGGGGGTGGTGTTGGTAGTTCCTTTGTGACATGTGCTGAGTCAGAGGCCCACATATCTTTTCTGCAGCCTGGGGCTGGGTGAGGGTCTGGTCCCTTCCAAAGCAAGCTTTATTTTACAGGAGCACCAGGAAGTGGCCAGTTGGCTTTTTCTTCCAAAGTCAGTATTCAGAGAGCAGACCTTCATTGCCTTTTGTGGTCCCATTTGAGGAAGTGTTAGGGTTCATAGAAAACAGCTGTCTAGATATTTGGCTATTAGGATGAAATTTTAAAAAGCTCATGTTCAATAATCCATCATGCGTGAGGGGAATTATGGGTACCCAACCCCCACAGGGTCTCTGTGAGTTGTTTTCTAGCATAACCACAAGTACCTCCTGTTTTTCTAAGCTTTGCCCACTAACATCCTGTTATGAACCTTTCTTGTTATTGAAAAATTATGCCTTGCCCCCATCCCCTTCTTGTTTCATTGGCCGTGGGCGGGGGTTGTGGTTTCCTTGTTTATGGTGGGGGTGTGGGAGTGTGTTCTGCTAGCAGGTGGTGTTTTTCCATCTCCCTTTGTATATAAGCTGCTGGCTGCAATAAACCGATGAGGACCTGAGTTGTGTCCTTCTTAATCCTCAGACACTCGCCTGGTCTGGTTCTTTGGTCGCTGGTGCTGGGGCCAGTGACAGGGAATCATTAAGCTATCTCGAAAAACATTTTTGTTAAGGCAAAAGCACAATCATCACAGGTTATTTTTATAAGACACACAGTGACCATACATCACAGGGTCACAACTTCACTATTGATTGGAACATGATTTACAGGGTACATTAGGCTTAGGAAAAAGAAACTTAATAGTTTTAAGCTGTGGAAACTTAAAAACAATGTATAAAAAATGTGGTTTCTTAACAACATGGCTACTGTTTTGATTTCAAACAGCTATGGGCACTCAGCCTGGTGTTCACCTCCAGATCCACATCAGGATATGTGTGAATGTCAGTGAAGACTTTGACATAAATATTAGACTCAGAGGTCATTTCTGGACCATATTTTCTAACTTAACCTTACTACAGCATTAAAAATCACATTAAATCAGTTGTTCTTTAAAATGATGAAGCAATAATGTGTGGAGTAATCTTTTTGTACACTGTGAAGATCTGTCTTTGCCAAGGCCCCTCTGATTGGTTTAATACAGCTGAATGGCCAATAGCTAGGCAGGAGAAGAGAGGTTAGGTTTCCGGGGAGAGAGCAGAATAGATGAATCTAGCTGCCCAGAGACACCAGCTACACTGGGGCTAAGTTGGGCATACAGAATGGTGGAGAGGAAAAAAATGCCATGTGGCAGATCATAGATTAATAATGGAAGATTAAATTAAATTATAAGAACTAACTGGAGGAAAGGCTAAGCTAAGGCCAAGAGTTCATAAATATTTAGAAGTCTTTCTAAACATGTTTTCCATGATGCATTACCTTTTCCACCTCTATGCAGGGGGAGGATGAGCTAGGTACTACCTATACTTGGTGTGTCATGCTTTGTTGAAACCCTTGGAGACTGAAGATGATTAGACGGGGGGGGGGGGAATAGATGTTTGTCTGGGAATAGGGACCTGGGGGAGGTGTAAATGTGGTTGTTATATAAAATGCATAAAACGTTAATTAAATAAAATTTAATAAAAAAATCATGCCACTATTTTCTGGCTGGGGGTCTAGACAAGTAAGTAAAATTTGCACAATCCCCTAATATGGGAGAGAAAAGTATCTTTTCAAGATGATTTTGAAACCAGCTTTCGTGTGCCTAAATGTGATTCTAAGTAATCAGAGGCTTCTGACAAACAGACCAAATCCAAACCTGGACTGGAAAATTTAAAGACCTTGTCTGTACATGAAAAAGCAAAAGCAAAAGCAAAAGGAAAAACAGAAACAACTAACTTAAAAAAACAACATGAATGAATAAAATGTGGTAAAACAGTTTGAGTAGAAGTTGGGCTTTGTTTCAATATGTAGTGCTTCATATAAATAATCCATGTTCAAAAAAAAAATCCATGTTCATCTGTAGTGACACTCTGCATGTCCCACACATGGATCCAACTCCACGGCTTGTAAAACAATTTTCCTGTGAACATTGGAATCCATACAGGGTAGGAGATTCTTCAGGGACACAAGAGAAGCTATAATCACTGAACAAGGTTAAAGTTCAACTCTGACATTTACAAAGAACTCCATAATCCATCTCAGTATTTGTCACCTGTCATTAACTCCCATGAAGTTACTCTGCATAAATATTTCAAGTTTTGGAGGACTATACTAGAATTTCAACAGTATTCCCTTGTTTGTTTGTTTGTTGTCTTTCATAACCCCAGGTATGCTATCAGCTCATGATGAAAGACCCCCAGGAGCTCAGACCCCCAGGAGCTCAGACCACCAGGAGCTCAGCCCAGGACCTCGGTCACCCCAATCACCAGGCGGAGTCGAAAGCTTGATGCAAACTGCATGAGGCTTTATTGTTGTTTAATGAGCTAATCCAATGTTAGCTCGGGTCTTTCATCTATCCACCATGGCAGATGGCTAGGAAAGACTGCTCGAAGTGCCTGCATAGAGGTCTTATAGGGCAGCGTAAGGGGAGTGCCTAGGGGTACGCACAGGCTCAGGATTGGTGTGCCTCCAGGCTTGGAGGGTTTGGCCTGTGTTGATTGGTCAACTGATTGTTATGGCCCATAGGCCCTCCCAGGGTGGTTGCTATGCTCTGCAGATCATTGCTGCACATCATTCACCCAGAGCTGTGAAGCATAGCACCACCAGCTAACTTCTGATTGGTTCCTTGTCATGAGGCCGGCATCTGACCTCCTAGTGACCAAGTCAAGGTCATGGCAAGCACATGTTACTGTCATGGTTGCCAAAAGGGGCAGGCATCTGACCTTCTAGTGACCAAGACAAGGTCAGGCAAGTACATGTTTCAGCTGTTATGGCTGCCAAAATGGGGAGCTGGTTCCTTCATTGATATGTCTCCTGCTTCTCTCCAAAGTGAATTGACCCAGCTCCTGGGTCAAACAGGTGTGTATGATGACTGTAAGAGCAAGGTAAACTCGAGAGGATGGACCTCAGAAAAAGCCACTCTGAGAAACTCCCTGCAGGGCACAAGGCTGATTCAGGTCCAGCCAAGGAACCATAAGCAGTTCCAAGGAGCACCCAAACTGTGCATACTCCGGATAAAGTGCCCCCATCTGGGTGGTCAGGCAATGACTAATTTTGGTAAATAACATCTGCTCATCACAACTGTCCTTGTGGGCTACTGTTAGTAACAATTTTGAAATTCCCCTAGCCCCCATGTCAGTGAATAAAATCACCTACTCTTATGCAATCCTGAACAGCCAAGGCACATACCACCCTGCTGTGGTTTTTTTTTTTTTTTCCTTTAAAAACCCCTTTAAAAACGGAGGCCGGCTGGGAGTCCATTGGGACCTGTGGGGCTGCATGAGAAACGGGTTAAGGATATGGGGGAGGAGGGTGGTCAAGAAGGGAGACATCATCAATTTCAGGATAGATCCGTGGAGGAGCTGTTGGAGCGGGCGCCGGCGAATCTGAAGGAGGCACTTTCCGTGCTGCCGCGGCAACTGTGGCAGTCCCTATTCCCGATGTCCAAGGCTTCATCCAGGGTGGCGGGTTTTGGACTAGGTCCTGCCACACGATAATGTATGGAACCTGATCAGGGTGTCCCCCTGTGGCCTGAAAAATAATTCGCTTGACAGCGGAAATAACAGATAGATTAAAAGTTCCCCCCGAAGGCCATCCTACACCGAAACTTGGCCATTCG